TTTTCTTTTTCCAGCACGATCTCTGTCACATTTTTTAGAATTATACCTGATTTTTGGGGTTGACTTGGATCACCATACTCCCCAATAGGTTCTTGATCATTTATTGTCATCACATTGGCTGCACAACTAACATTTAGATTTTCATTTTAAGTCTTCATATTTTCTTGCATAATAGAGACATCTAATGATTTCTCCCAATATATCACTGTAACCATCATGTTCATCAACTTGGACATATGTTCTCTAGATTCAATTTGGAACTTCCTTGCTTCATCAATCATTTCTTGTTGGGTCCTTACGAGTTGTTCCTGGATTCTCTCAATCCTACTAACACGTGTTAATATCTCATTCATCGCTTTTAATCTTTCTATAGACACACCCTGAGTAACTTCAATTGGCTTTCAAAAATTTGTTCACAGTATCCTTCACGAGTTACTCTCACATTTTCATGATTGATGGATGTAAAAATGCTTAAATTAATATAGTGCAAATGCAAATGTAGATGAAAAATGCAAATGCAAAAGGTATTAATTCTTTAGGTGATCACCATAGAACAACATTCATTTAGACAACAAAGTTTCATTACACCAGGTAGTCAAAATAAAAAGTGCGATTCTTCATTTACTTGAGTCATGCTATTCATAGAATATAACATTGCACCTAAAAGATACTTCCACTGCGAAGCGGTCTTCATACATTTGTGAAGGGTTTTCTCGTCCTTTATCTGAATGCATCTCTTGAGAAAGCATCTTGGGTTTGGTGCCTTTAAAGGAAGTATTCAACTAGCTTCAAATTTCTTCATTCATCTGTTGTCTTTCTTCATGAATCATTAGAACATCTTGGATTTCCTGGTTTTGACTATATGACTAATAATATCTTCTCTCGTTATGAACAACCTTCTATTTAGTCAATCACTTGAGAATTAACACCTTTGGATGACATCAAGATGCAAATGCAAGAAAATAAAATCAAAATAAAATAGACACAAAACAAAAACGGGTTAGTACACCATAGGATAAACAACAAGATAGTAAGTACTATAAGCATCAAATAAAACCTACCCTCAAGGTTGACTACCTATACATGGTATAATAAATCCTATCCAAACATGCTTTCTACCCCCATGCTTTGTTTAACATAAAAATCCTAACCTCAAGCCATCTAGTTCACATGCTTATTCAAAAAAATAAACCTAACCGCATGATCTCTAGTTCACATACATTTACTCGAAAAAAACAAAATTAAACTAGAAAAATTAAAGAACTCCAAAGATCTTTTCCTTGTGTACTCTCCTCACAGGACCCTTAAGGTTTGAGTAAGGCTCTATCTGGGTTCTAGGTTCACTATATGTTGGGTTCGGTTCTAAAGTAAAAGGTTCTCGAATTGTCCTTGTTGGTACCCATTTGGGCTGCAAACCCTCAATCCTAGCCCACCATAACTTTCGAATCGAGTTCAATTTGAGGGGACACACCTCCTTATTTCCATACAGAGGTGAAAACCATCACGAGAACCATAAGACGTGAGCCCCAAGAGTGATCCACTATCCCATACAGAGGTGAAAACCACATGAGGGATTAGTTTCTCATTGTTACTTAAATAGGATGGAGGAGGGTTTTAGCTCATGTTATGCAAATGCAGCTGTACAGTGTTTGAGGAAAAGCGGAAAACACATAATCACATAATACTCATAACTCATCCCTCAATCCCAAAAAACACACAATTAATTTGAAAACATTAGCAAACAAATCAATACAACTATTTAATTGTTAATCAAATTGCAAACAAAAATTTATTTAAAACCAAACAAGGGATCAAAAACCAAATTAGAATAAACTCGTAATTTCCGTTTGCAAAAACAATCAACTAATTGACTATCGGCCTGACTCTCTAAAACAACTTCCCCAATGGAGTCGCCAAACTTTCGAAATGATTTTTCTTAAAAAAACAAATTTTATCTTTAAAAAAGTGGTTTTTGAAAGATCCCATCTCGAATAATTTAGTGACATGTTAATAATAAAACATGATTCGAGGAGTCGCCACCAATATTTGATTAGGGTGTGATTGGGCACCCAAAAACGTATTTGTCATTTTAATAAAAAAATAATTTTAATTAAAACAACAATTTATGATTTGCGACCAAAATTTGAGTTTGGGGGTCGGATATGTGTGGGGAAGGATTAAGACCCCCACGGTGCCTTAAATCGGTACCTAGTCGATTAATTAGTTATCTTTGCAATGAAACTTACGAGTTCAAATTTAATTTAATTTAAGATCCATACAAATAAAATTCTTTGAATTTTAGGAAGAAACACAATAATATTTAATTGTTTCCTATCGAGAAGAATCGACCTCTCATACCTTAAAGCAGTCGATTCTTACTCCAATCGAAATAAAGAAATATTACAATTCCATCCTAGAGTTCATTATTAATTCGAGTGCGATTTATTTTTGAAATCATATAAAAAATACATACAAAATAAGACAAAAACATATATCAAACAAATAAGATTAATTATTTATTTTACTGACCTTTAATGAGAATAAGGATGTTCAATTATTTAAATACATCGAGAAGAGACCTTAGATCCGATCTAACAGTCTTTTCTCGGTTAAAAGAACATGATCTTTTTCTTAGCCCCAAATTTTAAGTGCAATCAATTTTATTCGTGTCACTTAATGGGATACTCTTTCATTTTAAAATTTTCGAAAGCAACTTTCTTGTAAGTTAAGACAATCACTTCACGAAAATCTTAAAATGAACGGATATTCCCTTAGTCAAATTATTTCGATCGAATCAAGAAATGTTTGTGAGGATGTCATGCGAATTATACAAAAATGATGTCATGGGCCCACACATGCAATTGATAAATACGTAGAAATGGGAACTAGTAAAAAAAAAGTATAAATTATTTAGTGCTTTTACATATATTGTAATATATATACATGGTAAAGAGATTATTTAATACATAATATGGAAGTGAATATATATATATGCTCAATCTTAATAAGAAAACCACGATTAAACATATTTGAAACTAATGCATTTAAATATATATATATATATATATATATATATATATATATATATATATATATATATATATATATATATATATATATATATATATATTAAAAATATTTAACATATGTATATATATCATGCACGATGAGAACATGCATTTAACGTCTCTATGGCAAACAAATTACACTTAGTACACATTGTATTTAGCAAATAAAAATACATATATATAAATGGGACTAAAACGAAAAGAGCATAAAATACAACCATCAAATACGAAATAAATATAAAACCAGAATAAATCAGCATCAGGGACCAAAATATAAATTGACAAAATTATAGGCTAAATGTATAAATAGCATGAAACTAAGGACAACATAGCACGAGACCAAAATGTAAGGCGCGTGAAGTATAAAGAAAAAATTAAAAAAGTCAAAAAGCTTGATTCGAGGACCAAAATGAACTAGAGTGGAACCTGACGTGACCCCTACAACAATAAACCCATTTTCATTTCATGACTGAAACAAAGATATTACAAGCATGAGGGACCTAGGGTGCTATTAACCCCTAAAGACTCAGAAAACACGGGTTGTCCTAAGCTAAAAAGGCGTCGTTTTATGTGGCACTTAAATACCCCATTATAGCTTTAGGGGAAAAATCAAGCCCCTATTTCATCCCCAGCTAAAAAAATAAAAAAAAGAGAGAAAAAAACGCTCTCAAGTTCCCCTAGTCGTGGAAGAAAACCACCGCTCATTGGTGGCAGTTCACAGCGGTCGAAGACAACTCACGGTGGCTGGAGGAAACAAAACTCGCTCAAAAACTTCCTTGCTTCCTCCTTAACCCGGATCAGAGGCCTGATCACTAAGAAAACCCTTTTAGAGGCTTAGATCTAAGGGAGAAGTTCCGAAAAAACTACCTTCCTCCACTATGAAAATCACCGTATGATGTTAATGTATTTTAGATATGTGCTTGCCGGCCACGGGATGGATCTTTTCACTGCGCGTTCGAAGGCTAGAATGTAATGTTTTGATGATTTTTTAGTTTTATTTCTCTCTGTTTTTCTCTATTTTTTTAAAGAACTGACCCCACTATTTTTTTGTACTTTTTTTATTTTTCCTCTTTTTTCTTTCGGGTTTCTTCCTCTTTTAGAACCGAACCCTCCACTCCTTTTTTTTCTTCCCCATCTTTTTTTAAAACCCATATGTTTCTTTTTCTAGAATTGAACCCTCTCTTTTTTATTACTTCTTTGAATGTTTGATGAGGTTATCAGAGGAGTGATGGTTGCGTGTTAGAGCAGCAACAGTGATCGGTGTATGGTTGGTGGAGATGACGGTGGTAGGGGACTGGTGCAACAGGGTTATTGTGGTTGGTGAAAATGGCGGTGGCAGTGGAATAATTGATTTAGTGGGGAAGTCCCGGATTTTCTAGGATTGACCCTTTTTTTATTTGATGTTTTTTTGATTGATTGATTTGAACTTACTGAAGGTGTCTAGCGAACAGAGTTGATTACGGCGGCGTGAACGACGGGAGTGACAGCGACGGTGACGGTTCTTGTTGGCGGTGATAACAGTTACTGTTGATGTTTTAGGGTTAGGATTTATTATAATTTAGGCCAACTTTTGGGCTCACTGTTTGTGCCGGCTGTTGGGCTCACTGTTTGGGCTTAAATTGTACTTGACCTGCAAAAAAATAAAAAAATAAAAAAAATGAAAAATAAATAAATAATAATAATAATATGATTTCGATCCGGACAAAACTAATGTCGACACCCTAAATATATAAAATAAAATTTTATTTTTTAGATTGAATACGATATTTTTCACTTTAAATTCGAACTCAACCTAGACATAACTTCTTAAAAAAAATTGACCCTAACTGGGTTTTTTTATTAAAAAAAAAACCGACCCAATTGGTCGGATCGAAAGCCGTGGAGTTTGAGGACTGTGCCTATCCCTCTCCAACAACCAAAAAAGCACAATGATTGAATTTTGTAAATTTTCCCGTTAAAAGGGAACCTAACAAACGAGCTGGCGTTTTATTTAATTTTCTTTTTGATTCCTTTTCATTTTATAAACCAAATTTTCTTTTTGATTCCTTCCTCCCTCTTCCCTTTCTGTTCAGAAACCGCCTATCCCAAATTTTCCGGCCATTTTTTAGATCTGTTGATACATTCACTTTAATCTTGGTAAAAATAAATAAAATGTTTTATATCATTTTGTAGCCACAGTTTTATTATACTAATTTGTGAACCTCATCTGTTATTTTAACCTGTTAGAGAAATTTTGACCAATTTTTACGTTCAAAATTTGTAATTAGTTTTTTTCTTTCGATATTCTTTAGGGTATGAGGGTAAGCTAATTCATCTGTTCTTCTTTCATGAAATTGGGTTTTAGTTCTACCCCTCTTTTCCGATATATATATTAATTTCTTATCGGTTTTATTTTCAGAATAATCTTCATAAATTTCTTGATGAATTAGGGTTTCCTGATATATTACCCTAGGATTTCTTTGAATCACGATGCTGTCCTTCTCGTAGAATTATTGAATAGTTTGATTCGGGGTTAGTCGCCTTTGTGCGGTGTTCCGTTTAACTTTAGATATGCAGGAGCAAACAACACAACATATTTTCTAGGTGAAATAATAGCACTTTGCTTCTGAATTATTGTTTGAGCTCTGGTTTATCTTTTATGTAAACAATGGAATAGTAGCATACTTTTGTTGTTAAATTGTCGCTGATCGTCAACTTTATTATACTAATAAGAGATGATGTAGATTCTCATTGGAAACCCTAGGAATAATCCTTTTAAATTCATGTTTGCTAAAGAAATTCTGACATCTGCATTGGGGTAAACCAACCATGTTAATGAAGCCTATGTATTAACATCCTCGTCAAAATTGTCATAGTCTACCATATATTCATCTTCATTACATTCATTTGGGATATTCAAATTCAATCTAGATTTTTTTCACTTATTGGCTGTTTGATTGGTTAATCTGCATACATTTTATTAAAATTGATTTGATATGTATCACTGCTCACCATTGCATACAATGAAAATCGTAGTGCTGATGCATGTGTTCCTGTTTTTCGTCTTATTATTGTGATGTAGTTTCTTCTGTGAGGATAAGAATGTGATTATTTGGACTGCAGGTCATGTGCCACCAAAATTCATGCTTGCATTTGTCTGCAGAGGAAACAGATACAGCTGTAGATAATCTATTAATATATTGCAAGCCTGTTGAGTTATACAATATTCTTCATCGCCGTGCTTTACACAATGTAATACCATGCTTTTCTTACTGAGCATTGCATTCTCTATATTTGATCTGTTATACACTCAAAGTCCTTAGATGTGTGTTTTTTGTGTCCAAGAGATCCTACTATTTGCGCTATTTGGGAATTCTTGCTAAGATGCTCACTATTTTTGGTCAAATAGAATCTTTGGTTAAAGATTCTATTGGTTAATCTTTCTCCCATAAGTCACAAACTGTATAGCCTTAATTTGGTGATTTGAGGAGGTATAATGCCTCATGGCATGGTTACCTACTGTTTTGCCTGATGGAACCAAATTCTTCATATCAGTCTACTTTCTAGTCTAATATCATGTTCTGCATCAGCCTTCATTTCTTCGAAGATGTCTGAAATACAAAATTCAGGTGAGGCGTAAAAAGAGGTATGAACTTTACTTTCAATCTATGCTTTGATATCTAATTAACACTTTGAATTTTATCAATATTATTTCGCTAAAGTATGATACTGACAAATTACTTTTGTCAGTGACCATCTATTTCATTTTCCCCTTGTAGAAAACTTTAAGTTATATACATGAAAGCATCATAGTACCTGGAGATCCCTCACAAGAACAACCAGAAATAATCTACTAGTTCTTTGAGCAGATGATTGTTTTGTCCTTGAGTCAGGATTATGTGATTAAGGCTGACAAAACGGTTATGTGGGGGGAAATATACATTTCTCTGCTATTTCATGCTTCTGAAAAGTAGCAATATTCTTTGATGTTTGAATTAAAGTGCTTTATTGGAAGTTAAATTTGTTATAAAGGGACAATGAATGTTGTTTAGGTGAGCTTCTTGATGGGAATCGGTTCCAAGTTGTAGCATGTTAAGAATTTGATGTGCGCAGTTGGGAAGATTTAGTACTAGAAGATTGCCTTCAAGACATATGCCCTGTGACAGTATCAAAATCCTACATGTCTCTACTTTTCTAAGCATGGCCCTGAATTTTTTTTTTTCAAATAATAGTGTGAAAAACAGATTACTTCTATTTTCCAAGAATACAAATAGCATTAGTTGTAGGCATGAAAGATATCTCCAAATTACCAACTAAAGTTGATATTGATTGCTGGAGTGCTGGTGTATTGCTCCATTGACCTTCTACTTAATGTCTACAGTTACAAACTTTTCCTAAAAAAGGAAAGAAAATTTATACACTTCTAACAATTATGTGTTTTTCCTATCAAAAAAAAACAATTATGTGTTTTCTTTCACGTATTATGTTGTGAACTTATCTATGATCTGTTTGTGTAGGTTGAGGGCTGGAATTGTAATTTTCAACTATAAGGATTATGGCAATATGCTACAAAAGACTGAAGGTTAATCTCTTTATCTTCAATGAACTCTGCATTGTACATAATGATTACTTAGCCTTTTAATGGATAAAATTGATTCTCTGAGCTCTAATTCCCACCTTCTTTTTTAATCTTTTGAACTTGCAGTAACTGAAGATTTCTCTTGTCCCTTTTGCTTGATGCAATGTGCAAGCTTTAAGGTTGATACAAATCTGTTATCAAACATATGATATTGATTGTCATATTTATAAAGCATGATTTCCTTCTTGTATGAATCTTTTCTTCTTGTTCCCAAGTATTGCAATTTGTCGGATTCAAGCATTGTTCTGATTTTTGCTATACATAGATATCTAGTTCTCTTTTTGGAGCAACAAGCATGTTTGACACAGACCACCTTGATGTTTGTTCACAGGGTCTGCGGTATCACTTGTGCACTTCACATGATTTATTCAACTTTGACTTCTGGGTTAGTAGCTCAAGTTGCAAAGTGACTTGCCACTCAATTGAGATTTTCCAGAAAGACTATTGAAAAATTGTCTTTATTGTAGGTAACAGAGGAGTATCAAGCAGTGAATGTCTCAGTGAAAATTGATTCATTGATATCTGAGGTAAAAAACTTATTTCAAGATTCACGTGGAAGCTTAGATTTGAAAGAGGAACAATAATGCTGCCATCAAAGATGGTATATCATGTAATTTTAGACTCGAGGGCAGACGTGCAAGTAATGGTTGTTGGTATGGGGTGGTATGTTCATAATTAACAATGGTTGACGATGAAAATAAAATATCCTTGTTTCATTTCGTATCTTCTATAACTTGTAGAAAATCAATTGTGACTAGGCAAAAAACATTATTGACTTCACAAACTTTAATACCCTGCCAAAAATTATTGTTACAGACTTTGGCAAATGGAGTAGACCCACGAGGAGAAACTTTCTGCTTCTGGTAGGGTATAACTATTTGGTACATCTCGCTTCTTTCAACTGCTATGAAAACTTCTTGCCAGAAATAAATACTGGTAGTTCAATGGTAAAAGGAATTGCATGTGCAGCTCAAAACCTCGAAGGCGTAGGTCTACAAGCCCTCTGCAGAGTGCGAAGAATGTTGTACAATTTTTGGAGATGGACTCGCCCAATATGGTCAGTGAAAGCAGGCAGAATGGATTTCTGGAGAATGATGATGGTAATTTTTCTAGTAACGTGTTCAGTTTACATTGTTATCAATCTTTATGATTAATGCTAGTCTCTTATTCATAGTGTGTGAACTGTGAATGCTTTACATCTTGAAATCGCCAAAGTAATTTTGTAACTTATAAGTAAACAATACTAGAAAAATGACTCAATATTTACCTTTCTTTAACATAACTTTTGAACTCTCTGTAGGTGAGAGGGCTTCCAAGTCAATTCCCATTGATAAAGATGTGCAGAACGGATGGCATGGTCTGGAAAATTATATATCTGATTATGCTAGTACAACTGAGTGTCTTGCACGGGTCGCAACTAGTTGTGATGGTCCAGGAGTTTCAATTGCTATGGCTCATTCTTCTCTGGACCCTGATTGTATTAAAACATTATCTGTAACTGATACAGCTGCTCCTCCTGCCAAAACAAGGAAAATAGTGGCAGAACGATCTGATTCTAGGAAGTATGTTCTCTATGGCAATTTTTTTTCTGTCAATTCCTTTTTGTAAAGGGCTTTTCTTTTATATATTCTCTCTCCCTCCTTTTTATCACATTGCTAATAGAAAGTGTTACCTTCTCAAATCATCAAAGTTTAGGCATGCTAGTATTTTTATTTTTTAACGTTTCAAAATGTTGTTCTCTTACAGCCGCATGCTCCTGCTGAAACGCCAATTCTTTCACTCACACCGAGTTCAGGTGATCAGTTTTAGTCATCTGCTTAGGCTAATTATAATATTAGACTTTTCATGAATATCCATGTCATGTCATGATATCTCCATTTTCTTTGTATAATATTATTTCTCTGAATGTGCTGAAAAGTTCTTATTGTTTAACTGAAGCGGATGGCAATGCACCAAGTAACGTCTGATAGAGACAGTGAAGACGAAGTTGATGATGACATTGCTGATCTTGAAGATCGCAGGGTAGAATTTACAATTTTTCATCTAAGTATTTCTTTTATTTTTCTGATCTTCTCATTATGACAAAATGGTTGTTTAGGTTATAGATTTTTTGGAACTCACTTATGAATTCTATTATTTTTTAGTGCATTAGAACTTGGAAGAGTTTATTTTCCTGATTCTGTTCTTGTGAAACAGTGTGTGCAAGAAAAAGGTTTTTCTTGATTCTTGTTTAATGTCATTTTAATTTCAGGCATTTGAATCATAACTAGGAAGTAAGATCAAGTTAGTTTGCATGCAGTAGAATTGAGGGGCAAATCTGCTCTAACTATTAATAATTTCTTCAATATGACATTTGGAAATGATTGGGAAAACTGAATCAGTGGTCAATGATATAAAATTCTTAACTCAGCAATTGAACTGTCAAAAAATGTGTTTTAGCATTTTGGGTGCATAACTGCATAAGTATATAATTAAAAAGAGAAAAAAATGTATTTAAATCATTCAACTTGGTTGGGGGGCAGAATAGCTGGTGAACAAAAATTTTACTATTTTGGGTTTATTAAATCTTCAGTTGTGATAGGAAAGTAGTCATTAAATAAATAGTGATCTGTTGGATTTAGACAATGAATTCTCTTCATTTTTCTCAACTAGAAATAGTTTGCTCAATTCTTGCTTGTATTTTACGAGCATTATTTTGTTCATGGTCCCAGAACTAGTTGCATGTTTAACCAAATTTTCCGATTATTCTACTTCTGAGAATAGAGAGAATAACAATAATAACAATTTGTTACAGATGCTTGATGATTTTGTGGATGTTAGCAAAGATGAGAAGCAGCTTATGCATATTTGGAACTCATTTGTTAGAAAGCAAAGGTAGTCTAGTACTTTTCTTGTCAATTGAATTCATGATTATCATTTACTTCTCTTCTCCCTTAATCATTCTAATTGTTGTGTCAAGAAATTCTAATAAGATTCTAGTACTTGATTTGGTGCCGCATAGAACTGTTTTTTTGTGGTCTTCTTTCTGATTGAAATTGTCTCCTGATTCATTCGACAGGGTTCTGGCTGATGGTCACGTTTCGTGGGCATGTGAGGCTTTCTCTAAACTCCATGGGCCGGACTTGGTCCAAGCACCTGCTCTGTTTTGGTAATGTTCTTGAAGAATTCTTACTCCTTTGTTTTGACTGCTTAAGTCTTATTTTGCCAACAATAAGAATAACCACTTTTGGAATTTGGTAGAGAAAAGATTGATTTATGAATGGTATGCATAGCAAATTAGCAATCTGTTCTGAACCTTTTTAAGCAACGATTCATTGTCACCTTCTTAGGATACTGCAAGTAATACTAGTATTGTACAACTTTGTTGAAATGAATTTTCTTATTAATGGTAATTACAAATTGCTGTTATCTTTGATATATATATATATATATTCCGGCGCAGGTGCTGGAGGTTATTCATGATAAAGCTTTGGAATCATGGTCTGCTTGATGCCTGCGCAATGAACAACTGTAACCTGATACTTCAAGGATGCCAAAATGAGGGATCAGATGCTACGAAAAGCTGAAATACTATTAAGCATAAAATGGTGTCTACACGATTTGTTTTTACTCTGATCGATCCCATTATTTCCATGATTCGATCACAATATTCTTCAACTTAGCTGGAAATTGATTCTTAAACAATTCTTTCTCCGGGTAACTAAATGCTTCCTTTCTCATTATTGTAATAGCATTACCTTAAAATATTCAACACTGGCATTAGGTTCACTTTTCTAAGAAGTAAACTGATTTCAGTCTAGTCGTTTTTGTTCTGAACTGATATGCTAAATACACATACACTTGTATGTATGTACATACGTATTTAAGATCTGTTCATAAGTCGGGTTATCTATTAAAACTTTCACACTATGAATTCTGCTCGTGCTTTATTGATAGAAACATATTACGCGCCTTCACATACTACTTAAGGGAATGCAAAAGCACTTCCGATATGTTTTGGGTGTTGTGTATATATTATATTATATATATTTAACGAATTATTTATCCTTTAAATTATATTTATTTTATAAAGTTTTTATTTTTTTTATTTTTCTAGAATCATTTATCCCTTAATTTTTAGTTTTGTTATTTGAGTTATTGAAAAACCGTTAACTCTATTTAAAAAACATGGCAGTCAATAGAAACATGACATGTAGTGATCAATGTTTGACTTTGATAAAGGGTAAATGTCATATTTTCTCTCTTAATGCGGTACTTGAATTATTTTTACAATTAATGTGGTCTTCAAACTTAGAAAAAAAAATCAGTGTGACCCTTTCATTATTAAAATTAAATAAGCCTAAACTTTGAAGAAAATCAATTTAGCCTATTAGCCATATCATCAATAATTATGGACTGTCACATTAGTACCGTAGATTGTCATATCAACATTGTGAAGAGTTACATTAGTACTGTAACGATCAACGGTGAAAATCATTGGTCAAAAGGTCACATTAAGAAAGTGATTTTTCACCTATAAGCAATGCTAAACACCTCAAAATTGATTTAAAATCATGATCTGAAAAAGTGATTTTTATCCTAACTTCAAAAGCTCAAATTTTGAACTTTTGCCGTGGAAAATTACTTTTTTTGTGAAATTAGATTTTTTTTTCCTTAATTATTTAATTTTAATCGACTTTTAAATTAATACACATACATGTATAATTATTTATTCACTATTTTTTATTAATGTTCAAATTGATTGTTAGATATAAATCTATAGAACTTAAAAGATTTTTTTTACTATATTATTTTATTGATAACAATTTTTCTTAATAAAATATTTTATATTTATATTTTTATTATAGTTTAAGTTGATACATTTTAAATCTCATAGTAATAATAAGTGTAAATATAATTCAAATATTATATTTTTAATCTACAACATTATGTCTAAAATTGACATTTTATCTTTTCTGTTAGCTCTTACAAAAAATCGAAATATGTCAAGAGAATGGTGAATTGACCTTTAAATTTTTTGTGGTGGAAACAACCGAAATTAAAACTTTTGCACAAGGAATTTAGAGTGGTTCGACTTCTAAACCAAGTCCATATCTACTATCTTAGCATCCACACTAAGGATTTCTCAAATCTACTAGGTTTGGTAACCTTTGAGGACAAGGTGTAACCTTACAACAATACACAAAGTTTATATCCCAAAATCATGCTTACACTTTCTCCACAAGAGGGATTACAAATTTAGCAAACAGAAGAAAACCTCACAAAGGAAAATAAGTTTGCAACAAATTAAGCACTCACTCAAATCACACTCGAGCAAGAACAGATAAAGAAGCTCACAAGTGTGTTACAAATAATATGACAATTTTAGCTTTAAAACTCTTTTGATGTTGGTTTAATCTTGCAATTGACTTTTTTATTGTTCTTTATTTGAATCTTGGTTCCTTTTATGTCTTCTAACATTATTCTAGTCTTTTGGAGTCGTTGGTGGTTGATTAGAGCCATTGAATTCATTAATTTTGAGCATTTAATGTTCACCTGCACATTTGGTATCGATATCGGGTAGTGGGTATCGAAATCGATTATCCTAATGATCAAAATTATAGTCGTTAAAACATTGGTATTAATATTGTTCATGTGAATATCGATACTCACCAACCAGTATCGATATCAACACCATGGTATCGATACCAGAAAAGCCCACTGAAATCTTGGTATCAAGACTGTCGTGTTTGTTTTGAGACTTACTATGGCTTTTTTGTTGTTGCTAAAATCAAGTGTTTTGAGTTTTAAAACAATAATTTTAAGATATGTACTTGTTCAAGAACACTTATTATTATTTTTCACACTTGAAAATAGATTATGACAAATTATTTATAGAATTGTAAAATGTAAATTTTAACAACTTAAAACATTTAAAAATTCATGTTATATCAAAATCAAAGGTTGGTTCAACAATCACCCCTTTTCAATATAACAAAACCCTTTGTGAAAAATTACTTCAAAAATGATTTGTCATATTAGTTTTGTGAAAAATAAAATCCCCCTTAGTAAAAATAAATTTTGGCTAGAAAATTTTACACTTACACATATTTCTCCCCTTTTTGTTGTAACAAAATCAAATTATGCTTCAAAAGTGAAAATATATTAGTGTAATAGGAAATTCAAATATTCAACAATAAAGAAAAATCAAATTATACTTAACATAAAATACTGAAGTTCATAAGCATAAAATCAACATCAAGAGTAATTCAAGAAAAAGTACCAAAAAATAGTACCAAAATAAAAAAGATTCATAAAATGTATAAGCCTAATCAAAATACAAATGTCCTAAAACCAATATAAGAATGTCTATTCTTCCAGATGCAGAGGCGAATGAGAGGGAGACACCAAGTGATGATGTATCAAGCGAACGTCATTCTCAAAAGTTCCCAATTTTTTGAACCATGTAGTCATATATGATCTTCATATATATCTTCTCTTGAGTTGGTGGCACAAAAGCTCATTCAATTCATTTCTTTCTTCCTCAACGTCGTCCAAGAGTTATCTTCGATGAGGACCCCATTCACTAAAATCTCAATTGTCTTTTTGGGTCAATTTGAGATCGATAACACTAACAAGAGGAATGAGAGGGTTAAATGAGGTGGACACTCTAAGTTTTCCCTAAAAATGAAACTAATGATAAAACCATAGAGAAACGTTTTGGTGTAATTCACTCCTTTTAAGACAACATCGACAAGCTCTAAGAATATGATCATGGCAAAGTTCGGATGAATATCGTTCTTCACATGATAAAACCACCAATAATTGCAAGAACTCATGTTGGTAGCTTTACCACCGGAAGGTTGGAAAAACACTAAATGAGTAAAAGAAGATGACCGGGGAACTCAAGGATGGTAGAGATATCATTGAGAAACCTTTCCCTTTGAACATATGAATTGTCCTTGAAAGAACCATCATTGTTGATATTTAGATAGGTAGTAATGGAAGAGGGACTAAGAAGAATTGTCCTTGAAAGAACCATCATTGTTGATATTTAGATAGGTAGCAATGGAAGAGGGACTAAGAGTAAACATTTTTCTCATTAGGTATTACTTAATCCTAATGACCTTGTTAACGTCATTTTTCTTATGGAATAGGATAACATTACAAAAGAAGATAGAGACAAGGTTTAGTTTCACCTTGGGAGGAATACTAACAAAGTCCAACCAACCCCACAAGACAAAAGTTTCAAAGATGGTGAATTGATATACCCATGACATAAGAAAGTTTAGATCAATGGGATTGGTTGAACTTAGTTAGGATTCCTCTCAAGGTGAATTCAAACATTGTCCATGCTGAATTTTGATATAACATGAATTTTTAAATATTTTAAGTTGATAAAATTTGTATTTTATGATTCTATAAACAATTTGTCATAAACTATTTTCAAACGTTTTTAAGTGTGAATAATAATATAAGTGTTCTTGAGTAAGTACATATCATATAAATATTATTTTAAAGCTCAAAACACTTGATTTTAGCCAAAAATCTTCCTAAGTCTAGAAACCAACATGACAATCTCGATACCAAGATTCCAGTGGGCTTTTCTGGTATCAATACCATGATGTTGGTATAGATAATGATAGGTGAGTATTGATACTCACAAGAACAATATCTATACGGAGGTTTCAACAGCTATAATTTTGACTGTTAGGATGATCGGTTTCGATACCCACTACTCGATATTAATACCAAATGTGCAGGTGAAAATCAAATGCTCAAAATTAATATATGCAACGGTTCTAATCAACCATCAACCACTTCAAATGGCTAAAAGAATGTTAGAATACATAAAATGGACCAAGATTCAAATAGAGAACAATAAGAAATTCAATTGTAAGATTAAATTAACATTAAAAGAGTTTTAGAGCTAAAATTGTCATATTTTTTATAATACACTTGTGAACTTCTTTGTCTATTCTTGCTCAAGTGTGATTTGGATATGTGCTTAATTTGTTGCAAACTTATTTGTCTTTGTGAGGTTTTCTTTTGTTTTCTAAATTTGTAATCCCTCTTGTGGAGAGAGTGTAAGTAAGGTTTTGGAGTATAAACCATGCGTGTAAGGTTACACCTTGTGCTCAAAGGTTAGCAAATCTAGTGGATTTGAGAAATCCTTAGTGTGGATGCTAAGGTAGTGGATGTAGATTTGGTTTAGAAGTCGGAACTACTCTAAATTCCTTGTGCAAAAGTTTTATTTCGATTGCATCCACCACAAAATTTTTAAAGGTAAATTCACCCCCACTTGGCATATTTTGGTTGTTCGTAAGAGCTAACATTTTCAGAATCATTTTTAACTGTAATCTCAAAAAGTTATATTTTGAACTACACTTTTTAAAAATACTTTTTTACGACACTTTTTAAATCACTTTTCAAATGTAATACAAAAATTTGATGATCACACGGGGTGCAAAATTAGTTTGAGGGTTACATTAATTTTTTTAAAGTAGAAGGACTTCAATACCTTTTTGTCTTTTCTTTTTATCCAGTTTATTCTCATAAAAAATTAATTAATCTTAATTTGATTCATATTTATTTCTTAAATTTATAATTAAATATAATATTTTTTTATTATTGATAACAATATATTAAAAAATATAATATTGAATAAAAATAAATTCAACTTAAGAAAATAAATAATAACCTTTATAATATCAAATAAAATTTTAAATTTAATATGAAATCAAAAATGAAATAATTATATTTAATATTAGATATAATAAAATTATTATATTTGTTGACGAAAACGGGTAAAGAAAACGA